GCAAAACAGATAATGGTTTTCAGCTGCCAAAGGCACCGTGACTGCTGAGGTAACTGCTGCCATGGCTAAACCCATCTTCACTTCACTGAGACCATTAATGGGTTTTCTCTGTTCTTCTTGGTCATTGATTTTCATGGAAGATGTGTGGGAGCAGGAAGAAATCTCAGTGGCAGATTTAGTTAAAAGGTACTGGCAGAGAAACAGAATGTGGGATAGATAAGTGACACAGCATCAGTTTTGTGTCCAAACAAAATCAGGAGAAAAACACATCCTACTGTGAAAGCTTTGTTTAATTGTTCATCATTGTCACTTGAAAAGGAGAGGAATTAGTTGTTGTTATATTTCAATGTTATATTTCAGCATTTCAATGGATTATCAAGTTAAATTCTCTAAATTTGAATTCCTAAGGCATAGGGGATTGGATAACCTAAAGCAATGTCTTCTGACAGTAGCTAACAGAAGAGTGAGGTGTCTGAAATTCTCTTCTACAGGCTGCTTGGAAAGGCATGGTCTCTTGAGGATTGTGGAATTCTGGTTTCCACACAGATGGTTATGTAAGTGTTCAGTTATGCCTCCCAGGAACTGCCCCACATGGTCCCCAGGAGTTTTAAAACAATGCAATCCACCAAAATTCTCCCTCTCTGTAAAGAGTTTTGTTACTTCTCCTGCCAAATGTCCTGCTTGCCAAGATGTATCAGGACAATGTTCTTGTTTGGTTTTTAAAGAGAAGGGAAGGAAGAGATAGCTTAGCTTACAGCAATTCCCCCTTTGAACCTCTGGAACTATCCAGAAAGTAACCAGCCAGAATATTGCCACAGCTTAAACAGAGCAAAAAGCACTGAGTGAAGAATGGGTAATGAAGATGAGGCAGAAGCTCAGACTCAGTCTGTCCAGCTGCAGTCCTGGGGAGCTTCCTTCTCTCTGCTCTCAGGGTGGTGGTGTGCCCTGTGCATGCTCTTTCTGTGAGTAATGATGTTTCACTGGCTTTGGGGTGCAGTCTGCTAAGTACAGGTTCCTCTTAGTGATCTGGTCTGTGGTTTTGGGTGCTTAAATTAATGATGATGTTATATAATGCTGTGATCGAATAGCATATACAAAGCAGAAGGTTTTTCAGAGCTCTGTTTTACTCTTGTCCCATGTAGTCTGAGGTGAGATAAATCTTTTGCTTCCTCACCTTCCAAAGTGTTCCCTCCCTCTCTATTCCCACTGAATTCCCTGGAAAACCTTGCTTTTGCAAGCAAACTGAACTTAATAAATAAGGGTTCTCCCATATCCTGTGGAATTCCTGTTCAGAGAAAAATCAATCTATTTTTCCAGCATCTGAATCAATGTAAATTCTTTGGTATGCTTTTCCTGGAGAGAAAGCTCTTTGGAAGTAGATAACTGTAAATAAAATTGTACTCTTTCCAAGCATGGAAAAGACGTGGTGCCAGTGGGATTTTTAGGTAGGCACATGATACGTTCTGTATAAATAGCTGTTAGATAATTAAATAGCTACAGAGGAAGTCAGATTGATAATGTTTTAATATTTCTTCTAAACAAACCTCCCCCAGGAGTGTTCCAGGTGTTGCATTGCAGCTGGTTTGGGACTGAGGAGCTAGAACAGGAGTATTTATTTTTAGACTGAATGTCTACTGATCTTTTAGTTAACAGTGTCCCTGGAATGGACCTGCTTTCATAAAAAGCACCAGAAGAACCTAAATATTGATAACTTTAAGAAACTATGTAGCTCTTGGGCTTCACGAGTTATACAGATTACAAAACTAAAGTTAACAGCTGTACCACTTGCCAGAGTTCTGTTGCAGAATGGAAAAAAAGCCACTTCCCCCTTCCTTCCCTGGATGCTGTCATGCACATCCCTCCCCAGCTGGGAGAGGAGCAGGGGGCCTTGCAGTATTTTAAGTCCTTTTTAACACAGCAGGTGAGAAACTAGGTGAGGTGAAAATACTGCAGCTGCTGTACATGAGCCTTACTTTCCCTTCTCTTCCTCCTCCCTTCCCTTAAGGACTGGCTTTGTTCTGGATGTTCTGTATCCTGGGAGCACATGACAGTGAGGGAGAACAGTGCAGGCAGTTTGTGTGCCCTCAGCCAGATCCTCTGCCCTTTCATGGTACGTGCTGCACACAAGCTGCCATTAAGCTTGAAGTCAGGAAATGAACTCAGGAGAGGTGTGTGCCTGCCAGCCAAAGATGGTTATCCTAATAAATGCAACAAAATCCTGCAGAAACACTGTCTTAAGACAGCAGCTTTTAATGCTGAAATTAGTTACCTTCCCAGTTTGAGAGATTGTCACTGCTAGAATATGATTACCACCTTTGGAATTATGTATACAAATATTCTATGCTTTATGCTTATAAGTAGTGTATGCAAGATTTGGGTACTTGCAGAATTGAGAAAAAGAATATTTAGGTTAGTTGTGGAAAGAAATGTATAGCTTGGTTTGTTATTTCAGTATTAATTCCTCTTTCATGCAGGATGCTTCTCCTTGGTAAGAGGCTGCAGTGTGTTGGTGGTGAGCAGGGCTGTGCTGGTAAATAGCAGGGATGGTGTTGGTGTGTCTCCTGGGCTCTCTCATAGGCTTTAGAGTTCAGTGTTTCCCACTGAGTCATTATAATTCCTACTAGAAGTGTGTGGTTCATTGTTTTTTTGATTTGTTTTTTAAGCATTCTACAAGCAGGCAGTCAGGAAAGGTCACATGTTGGTTGGATCAGCTGCCATTAACTCAGAATTGGACACTCAGCATGGGTGTAGGGCTGTACAGCTGTCCACTGTGTTGTGACATATCTAAGGTGATATATATAACCCTATAGAAGATGGATAGAAGAGGGATTCATGAACCAGCAAATTTTGGTGTTTGAGTAAGGTTTGTAAAGACTTAAAAGCAGGAAGCTAAGTAAGGAGTTGGACAGAGGAATAAATGAGTCATTAGTAAGTCAGGATGCTCCTGTGGTGTGACCAGCCCTCTTCTGCTTTATTAGCTGGCTTGTGATGGTAAAAAAGGGTTTTGTACTTGTCTTTGTTCAATCCCTTCTTCCAAGCCACCTTTGAACTATTTAGTTAGTTTGAACCAAGAGTGTCAGAATAGAGGACTAAAGTGTAATTAAACTCTTTCCCTTTAGGGGAAGAAACTGTTAATAGAGGGTAAAGTTGTGATTTGTGGGAGCTTGGAAATGAAGAAATTTGAGAGGAAATTCAGGAGAGAGAAAACACGTTTGTTGGAGAATGGGCAGAATTAGTTCCAGGGAGCTCTGAATGCTTGCAACTGCCATAAAAATCTAATGTGGATTGATGAAGGGGAGTTTCTGCACTACAGCCACTGACTGAAAAGCTGTATTTGATATTTCCTGGAGAAGGACATACTGTTTCCTTCTGTAATGAAGCAGGTAAAGTGAAACATAATTTGTGTTCTGCAGTCACTTCAGCAACTCTTTATTTTGCCACTAGCCCCTAATAAAATTTTCAATGAAGAAATTAAAAGATACTCTACCTTCTCCGTTTTCTTTTTTTCTTCTTCCTGTGTTCTGCCATTTTCCCAAGCTGTGAGTCAGTGTTCTGGTGTTCATTCCCAGAGAACATGATATACCAAGTACCCAGTGCTAGGTGCCAAGGCAGAGGCAGTGACTTGCACTGCTCCTGGTGGAAAACATCCCATAGCAGGGGGGAGGCACAAAGTCCCCTTTTTCCCAGCACAGTTCCAAGTAGGCAGAGCCATCAGAGGGGTTGTGACTCATGGATGTGGATGCTTGTGTTCTGTCTTGGTGTTGTTTGTTTTTTTTTGAATGTTGTAGAAATCCACACTCAAGTTTTGTTAAAAGGGTGAAACGTTAAAGACTAACTGAAATTTATTGCAAAAAAAACGACCCCATTCAAGAGGGGAAGCATAGGAAATGTATGTTTAATTCCCTGCATTTCTGCCACTTGACAGAGCAAGGGAGAACTCCTGGCTGCTGCCTCTTCTGTTGATGTGTGTTTATCTGAGGGGCTGATGCTAAACCAGCTGACTGAAACTGGGTGGGTAATAAATGGCAAAAGAAAATAATAATGTAACAGGTAAAGAAAATAGAGCACTAGCCAAATCTTTCATGACCTGTTTGTTTTAATAAGTTTAGCAATTTCTTCATCACAGATATTTGGGTTGTGACAATGTGACTAATCATTAAATGACACTAATTTTATTTTTATTCAAGAAGCAAAAAGCAAAGGTCATTTGTGTTGGCATAGAGTAGTCTGCTGAGAAAAATTCTGGGTATTAAAAGAGGTTTTATATACATTCTGAAAAAAAAAAATTAAGCCCTCTGCTTCTGTCAACCTACAATACTTAGTAACTACAAGCTAAAAACTGTGGTGGTGAGATTTCAGAGTGCCTTATTGTCTGCTCTTTATTCACATTTATTTGCCTTCACAGAGGTTTGATTAACTTGTTTTCAAATCAGTTTGCTCCTTCATCCTTTATCTTGTAGTGCCACTCCTACAGTGTTGTTAGCAGGCTGGGGTGTCTTCATGGAGCACCATTCAGCTCAGCATGCAAGTGCTGCAGTCTGCTCTTGCATGAGGAGTTACAGTGCTGGGCAGGCCAGGCTGGGAACATCAACTTTCCCTCTTTGTTTATTACAACAGCCATGGCCAACCTTTTTTACAGAAAGGTTTGCTTCTGAGGGTTTGGATTTATGGAAAGTGAGAAACATCCGGGTGCTGTGATATGTTGATGTGTAACCTGGCCTCTGAAGCCTGGTGCTAACCCTTAGGAGTAGGTAATTTATTAATTAAAAAAACCTTTAACTCGTGGTGTTGTACTAACTTGGTTAGGCAGTTCCACCTTTCTCTTACTTTGCTGAAAGCTTTTATTTCCCTGATTTTTCCCATACCAAAAAAGACTCCAAGGAGCTGCACTACTCTTGCTTCCTCCAGATGCAGTTCTTATTGGCTCTCTGCCTGCTGGGTGCAATGAGCTTCAGGCACTTTCTCAACTGAGAGCATCTCCTGTCTGTTCTCTTTCCAAGATGAGGTACAAAGTACATGTAAGTTCTTGTAGGTCAGGTTGGGATCCTCTAATGTAGTGCAAGTTCCTTTGCCAAATCACAATCTTGTTCTGCCCTTGAACTTTATGCAGGCATCCTGTTTTAATCAGTACCTGACTCTGAATGAATTTCCGTATGTTCACTCTGATTTCAAAAATCTGATCTATAGACTAAAGGTAATGAGTTGACTTGATGATCTCTGCAGAGTGAATTTTAAGTCTTAGTTAAGGTATAAGTAATTACACTGGAGAATGTAATGCCTTTAAAGTTCAGTTAGGCAAAACATGTTGCATTTTGTTTGAAATGATACACGCCCTCTTATTTCATATTAACATTTTTGATATTCTGAATTTGAAAAGCCTTGAAAACTGTTAAAGCATTCACCATTTCAAAGGTTATCTTTTCCTTGGATAGTATTCCTATACTACTGAAATCAGCCTGCATGCAGTGCTGGTACAACTCAAAAGAGGGGTTCATTTTCACCATGGAGTTTCGCGTACTGATGTATTCATACCAGTATTTGGGAAGCAAGAGAAACTTGTCCAAGTTGATTGCAATTTGCAAACTCATCAGGATATTTGCTCTTCTGTTTACAGACTTGATATTTGCAAGTTCCCAGCCTTGACAGCAATCACCATGGATAGTGGTAAGTTTAACCTACTGATGAGTGTGCATTCTCCATTATTTCCTGTTAAGTAGCCAGTAACACACCCCAACACTGTCTTCTGCTCATAATCCCAGTCTCTTTGCACAAAAGGTGCCCTCTGGCATTGAGCTGGCTTTGATGTTACAGATGATGCAGAACTTTGCCCACACTGAGCTGGAGTCATGCAACTGTTCTGACAGAGATATTATTTGCAGACCATAAAAATTATCACAGCCTTATTGTTGCCCTTTGAAAACTGGCTGCAGAATGAAGACCACAGAGCTGAATTTTCAGCCTTGAGTACTTTAGTTTTAACTGGTTTTAAGCTTGTCTCTGTAACTCCTGATTCTCAGAGCAGAAGTCACTTTTTAAACTTCATAAGTAAAAGCACAAATTCAAACTAAATGGATTTGTTAAGATGACCTACAGAAAGATGTAATAGCAGCAGGAGCTTCAAATTTAGAGCTAAAATGTTTGTTTTTACTGTTTAGTGGTGATTTTAGTCTGCTTAGATGGGTAAGGAGTCAGTAAAGGAAGCTCAGCACTGGTGTCAGTGGAGCTGGTTTGGGTGTCCAGGCTTCCCCGGGCTTTGCTTTGGCAGCACTTCAGTGTCTCAGAAAGCTTGGTTCCCACACTGCTGCTCCCTGTTCCCTCTGTCATTGCAGACCTAAAGCCTTTCTCCTTTCCCTGTGGCAGCTTCAGCTGGCAGGCTGCAAAATATTTATCCTCTTGTGTCTGTGCCTGGCTCCAGTTCTGATTGAATTTCACCTTGGTAGAGTATCCATTCACTACTAGGATAGCAGGCAGGCTTTCCAGAGGGTGTGTAATAAATTGATCTGACTGTATTGTTCTCTTCAATAATAATAGCTGAAACTAAGTCTCTGGAAGCTTTTTGATACATAAAAACTTGGTAAAAGCCCATTATTACAGTTTCATACAGTGCACAAGCATGTCTGAAGAAATTATGTATTCAAATGCATTAAATTTGGTAGTTGTATAACTTCATCTATATCCTACAAAAATTGGGGAAGTAAAAGAGACTTTGGATGATTTGTGTCTTTTATATATATAATGCCAAAATAATGATTTTGACTTCTCTTTTATCTGCTAGTTAATCTCCTTAAAAAAGTGAAGAAGTGACTTATCTTGCTTCATTTCTTTATTCTTACACATGCAACTCTTCCCTGATTGTGTTGAGCTCCACAGTAACAACTGCAGTGAATTCAGCCATGCTGTGGCTTTGCTAGGTGGGCATCCAGCCCAAGTGGGCTTTTTGCACACTCTTATCCTACTATAGCTGAGTATCTACATGATTATGGTCCTGGAATACTAAGAAGTCAGAGTGGGTTCTGCAATACAGTTCCATTATCTTTTTTTATGAGATTCATCAGGCAGTGCCTGATTCTCATTAAATCCCTGTATTTCAAAACCTGTATTGCAGGTTTTGATTTCCTTGATACATTTGTATTGACTTCTCAACAGGATTTGAAGTCACTAGGATTATGCAAAGCATTAAAAATTTCACATCCAAACAAACAATTTACTTCATTTTTATTTCCACCCTTGCAGGGTCAAAAGGCATTCTAGGTCTAGACTAGCCAGAGATTTTTATTTATCAGATATATTCATAATTAAGATGGGATGCAGTTAATTTTCCTCAGCAGGCTTTTTTTTGTCTCTGTAGTATGTACATTGTGTGTACTGTATTGTGAAAGAAGACAGACCTGAATATGAATTGTTAAATAAAAACTTTGAAGGTTTAGACAGTCATGTATTGTCCATTCTTGAACTGAATTAACATTTTGCTGTTCTTCATCAATGCATTTCAGAAATGTATGATTATTTCCTTTTGGAAAACTTAAGTATTACCTAAAAGCTCATATCAATATATATCAAATGCAATGTTTCTTAATATATCAGATTTTAAAACTTTATTCTCTTTGGAAATTGGAAAGTGCATGCAGAAACAATTATTTGTATCTTGTTTCTGAGAGCCAGAATCTGTAAATCAGGGTATTTGCAGCTACCTGCATTTTCCTGTGTTTCTTTTCCTTCTACATCTGATACAAAGCTGTCATCACTTCTCTCATTGCTCTTTTTGGGGATGGATTCCAACATGAAATTAAATTCCCTACGTTTTATCTGCTGGAGGAAGGGAAACTTAATTTATAGTGCATTATCTACTCTTCAATGCCTCTACACATGGACACTCTTAGGAGAGTCTGGCCTGACACTTGTTCCCTTCAGGAATGCCCACAAGGAGTTGGGGGAAGTAGGAAAAGCACTTGCAGTCCATCCCCAGGCATGGCTGTGTGCTGCATTCCTCATGTGGATGAATTGTTCAGCTCATCACCTTGAGGTGATCACTGAGGCATGAGGCTGAGAGAAACCAAATTATTCAGGCCTAGAGGGAAGTGAGGGGAATTGTGTGGAAAGTGGAAAAAAGCCATCTCTTATTCTTTGCTTTTTGAAGAGATGTCTGAATATTGGTTTCTATGTTACTTAGTCAATGAATTGCACAAGAGGAGATGTCCATGTGCTCACCTATGGTGCTGAAGAAAACCAAATTTGCAGTAGGTGCAGTTGCAGGGCTGGATGCACTGAAGCTCTGGCATCCTCATGGGCAGGGTAATTTGTGTGATATATGCATGTATGTAATGTATTCAACTGGAAGCATAGGATCAGTGCTGTTTTGGAATTCAGTCTTCACATCTTCATATAATTCTTGCAAGAGGAAGGTCACTATCTCATGATTTGTAACCAAGTTGTGACTGACTGACCCTGGCTGGATGCCAGGTGCCCCCAGAGCTGCTCTGTCACACCTCTCCACCATGGTCTGCACCATGGGCTCCAGGGGAATCTCAGCTCTGGCACCTGGAGCACCTCCTCCCCTTCCTTCTCCACAGAGTAATTTTCTAGCAGCTTCTCACAGAAGCCACCCCTGCAGCCTGGCCATGGAGATCCATTACAGTAGTATACCACAGACATTAAACAAGTTGAGATTAGTTATGCCTAATTATGCTAATCAGTGCTGGCAAATACCACCACATGTTTCTAAAGCAAAAACACAGTTTCCTTGCTGCCCACCCTTTATAAGATTAAGAGCAGATGATTAAGGGAAAAAAGAACCCTTCAGACTAACTGCAAATGAAGCAATGCACAAATGATTGTGTAGCCTAGAAAGTGCTACAAATGCATTAGTGTGGCAGTGCATTCAATCATTATCCTCTCTTGCTGGCACTCAGAGCCCAAGAACAGTGTAGCACTGACCTGATCTTCCTGCTTCCTGACCTGAAATACCTGCAGAATGCCTGCATCACTGCAGATTTACCTCCTGGGGAATTCAGGCTGATGGATTCCAAAGTGTTCCCAGTAACTGCATATGTAAAAATCATTGGGTCAGAGAGTTGGATGGAAAGCTGGAACATCAGAAGAAAAGAGATTACTTCCAGCTTTCCTCCTTGGACAGCAAACTAAGGGAAGCAAATAAAGAATACCTGTGTCAGAACATGGGTTGCCTTTTAGGTTTCTTTTCATTTGATTCATCAAATAAGGTGAGGTTCTCTGTATGAGTCAAAAAAATAGAAAGAGGCTACTTCCCCTCACACCCTCAGAAGAACTCCCATTTACTGGTTGAGAGTTCTGGAGTGAAGGGAGCAAGTCTGCTTCAAAGTTGCTTAAGAAAACTTACTCACTTAAACATTGATAAATGCAGCTGTCTGCTGTTTGTGACTCTGGGTAATAGTCATAAATATTTATATCAAAACCTTCAGAGCATTCTGCCTGTGATGCCCCCAGGCAGTAGCAAACATCATTTTGGATGTTGACAAGCAGGATTTGTGTGTTCAGTGTCAGCTTGAGCTGAGCATGTGCCTGTCTCTTCCAAGGACTCTTCCTGGGCACCAGCTTCAGTCTTGTTTCACCACACATGGCTGTGATGCTGAATTGAGGTCTCTGCATTTAGGACATTTAGCAATAACTACTGAAATTGTAGGCCCAACTACTTACCACAGTGAGCAAAACTAGGAAAGGCCTTATATCATATCAAATAAAGGGGAAGGCTTTGAAAAAACTTTTTCTCAAAGTCATGTTTTCTTGGAGTAATTCTGGCATAAGGTTTTGGGTGTCTATTTTAGAAGTGACCTTTGTTGACTCTCCTCTTCTTATTCAGTGTTCTTAACAGAGGACAAAGCCAACTCTGTGTTAAAAAGATACCCAAGAGCCAACACGTTTCTGGAAGAAATAAAGCAAGGTGACATAGAACATGAATGCAGAGAAGAAATCTGTAGCTATGAAGAAGCAAGAGAAGCTTTTGAAAATGAGGAAAAAACGGTATGTTTTGCTATGTATGTAAAGATGGGTGAGGTGTATTTGCACTAAACTTATGGGTGTGCTGAGTGCTTGCATGTTTTCCAACATTTCATTAGATTTGGTTTTTGCACAGGGAAATTGTACTGGCAAGGCCAGTGATTTAGTGGCCAGAGTGGCACAGGGAACCTTGCAGATTTCTTCTGAAATTTACAGAGGTGACACATTCCACTCTTCAATGACTGAGCTCTGCATCAAAAAATAAGTGTATTAAGGCATACTGGACATTTTAAGTTCTTGGCATCTTTTTGTTGGTGTTGGTGTGTATCACACATAGCTGAGGAGATTGCTAAGGCTGGCATGAGAATTTTCTGGTATATTAAAATGAAGTTGTAGGACACGTGGTTTCCCTTCAAAGCTGCTTCTTTCTGAAGCTCTGAAGTGCCTGCACACACGTGTTTTTACCTCCCAAACTTGACTTTGCATGACTGTTCCTAATGATAGCTCATTGTGTAATTAAAAATAATGTGTACAATGAGCCAACTTGTATAAAACTCTAACACAATATCACTGCTGCTTTTTGTTCCAGTCACTACAGAAAACATAACCTAAACATGTTGTCTCTCAGCTTCTCTCTCCCATTCAGGAACATTTTATGATATGGTAACTAGAATTTCCCTTGCAGAGGTATTTGGGAAGTAGTTAAATAGAAATAATTACATTTATTTTCTGCCACAAGTGTTGAAGGAGCTTTCAATAAGGTCCTGATCCTTTATCCATTTCCACTACTGTATCCTTTTTCCCTGGCTGCTCTATTCTGCTGTGGGGAGTTGCTAATGGGTCAGGCTCTGCTAATGTGCAGTGGTGCCTGACCAGCCTCATGTACTTGGGCTTATTTAGTGCATTGTCCCCCAGCAGTATCCATCCACACAGCCACTTAGTAATACTTAACATCTGTGTCCCAGGGGAAGGGAATGGCTGCAGTACACTGGGAACATGAGCTAGTGTATGCAGAGAAACACAGGATCAAAGCTTTCATAGTGTAGATAGACTGGAATTCAAATAGGGGCTGTAGCTTATTTATCTCATGATAACTTTTTGTCTAATCTCTATATTTTTTATCTTGTCCACTTGCTTCTTTGTTTTTCTCGAATCTTCTGGGCAGGTCTGCAACATGCAGATTTGTAATATTAAAAGAATATCAAGGAGTTCCCTCAAGATAGTTTTGGTGCATGAGTTTTTAATTAGCATTGTGTATGTCAAGTGTGCATACATGTCATTCAGTATTTTCAAGACAGGCTTGGGGATTTTGACAGATTCCAAATTACTATTTGAAACTATAAAGTTAGTTATAAAGATAAAACTGTTATGTTAGGCTAGAGCCAACAGGGAAGAATTTTCAGGACTTTGTGGGTAAAACAGGATATGAAATTATTTATTGACAAATGTAATACATGTGTAGGAATTGGGGACATTCATTTTAATAGGTGATTGTCTCTGAAAAGAATTTGGGAATGAGATCTGGATTTCAATCTTTGAAGACTTCAGTTTAATGCTGAGCAGTTAAACAAAGCCAAAACAAAGAACCCTGAGTTCTAAGAATCTGAAATAAACGAACAGGGATCAAAATAAAGAGTTTACCCACATCTTGAGTGTGTACAACTCTCATCTCCCTGTCTCTTTAAAAGTGAATTAGGTGAGGAAGCACCAGAGAAGTGTGACAATTAATCAAAGATATGGAAAGACTTGTGTAACAGCAATAGATCATAAACTAATTGAATCAGGGGATATGTGATGATGTCTGTGAGATGAAGGCTGAGCTGAGGTCAGTCATTTGCCATCCTTCTGATAGCAGAGCTAAGAGGGCCTCAAAGGAAACTGGAAAGGTGCAGGTTCAAAGCAAATAGAAGTCTCTCCTCACCACAGCTAATGGAGCTGTGGACTGCCTTGCCACAGGATGTCTCAGATCCTAAAAGCTTGCACAGGCTCAGAGAACAGTGATGTAAATGAAGGGAAGTCAAATCAGTCTGGAACCATTAATTAAAAGGAATCAACGTTGGCTAATGGAAGTTCTTAAGGTACAAATATGGGAAATCTGGGAGAGTAACTCCCAGCAGCAGCACAGTAGCCTGCCTGTGTTTGAACTCTTTCAGCAGTCTCTAATGATTACTGTCAGAAGTTAACAGATAAGGTGAGCCCTAGGTGTGACCTTGTAAAGCTGTTTATTGTGGTGCTTCTAGCCTGCAGGCAGTGCTGCATGTGGTCACTGGTCAGGTGTCAGAGGCTGTTGGGAGGCTAAAAGATTTATTCAGAGGTTACTATGCTAAGTGTCTGAGTGTGATTGTAGCACTGATATTAATTTAATTTCCATTAACTCATTTTTTTTTAAATTAAACTGCATGAAGATTTTAAAGCTGGAAGTCACAGATTTTTGTTCCTCTTGCAAATTTCCAGTGAATTTTAAATATTGCAGAAAATTGCCAAGTTCTCTTTGTTGCTTTATTCAAGCAAAACAAACAAACGACTGCTAAAAATCTTAGTAAGCAGCTCAAAACTTGTCAACACCAGATCTAAAATTATATGATCAAGTAAGACTTCCATGTTGCTCTGTGTGTAATTATGGATGTTGGATAAATTCTCATACAAGAAGATGTGGATCTTTTCCTGCTACTTGAAACTGGGGGCAGACCAGAAGGGAAGAGTGTAGCAGGTGCACTCACTTGCCCTCACTGCTCTGTTCTCTCCCTCTGCCTGGTGAATGCCAAGCAGTCCTCTGACTGGCTTGTTATCAGTCCACCTTAAAAACAAGTCAGGCAATTGACAAAGAATCATTTGAGGATGACAATGCTGCCAGCTGTAGTAAAGGCCTCCCCTGAAATTCTCAAGAGAGTGTGAGTCTTGACTTCCTTGTGGATCCCTTATTTGATTCAGCATTCAGATCCAGCTAACTGATACTGACTCTGTTCTGAGAAGTATTACAAATGAAAGGGAAACAGAATTCTGGAAAATTTTGTTGTAACTGCCTTTGGGATGCCTGTGAGAATTCCTTTTCATTATTTCAAACTGGATTTGCCAAAGCACTAAGGTACATTCAGAAAAATAGTTCTTGGCAGAATACATGTTAGATGATTTCTAAGTATTTTCCCTTGCAGTTATCTGATTCTGTGGCCTGCTTAAGTTTTTCAGCCTTATAAGGCTTTTACACCTGGTATTCCCAGTTGTACAGCACTCAGGGATAAATGATTACTGAAGTGCCCTTTTCAGTAATCACAAGTTAGTAATTTTGTCAGGCAGAAAGTCCTTTCTGTTGTTAGTTAAAGAGACCAACAGTTGTGGGAGGGATGTTTGTGCTGGGAGTTTTCCAGCTTACAAATTACTCTTTAACTTTCTGTATGAATTTTACAGATACTTTGTAAATTTTCAGTCTTCCCCCTCTTAGTCTTTTTCAAGCACTAGTTCTTTTACAGACAGCAGTTTGTACAAGTCCTCACACTGTGTAAGCTTACCTAAGTTGTCTGTGGCTTTGTGAGGCAGGATTTGACTCTGACCAGGTGTCTTGTCCTCCTCCTGCACCATCCCTTTACTCTGCAGTGTAGCTGTGGGTGGCAGAGCAGAGGGAGAGCTTGGCAGCTGTGCAGCTCAGACCTGAAGGATGCATTTCCTGCAGTTCCTGTCAGTTGTGGCAGTCTGGGGCTAAAAGTCTTTGTGCTTCTCTCAGAGAGCTGTCAAAAATGCAGGCTGGGAACCCAGGATCTAGTATGCTAACAAGGTTATTTCTTGTGGGGTTTTATGGAGTTGTTTTTTTGGTTGGTTGTTTTTTTCTTTTCCCATTAAGAACATAGACTTTTTTTTTTTTTTAATGACTAAGTAAATGTTTCTTTCTTAGTGTTTTTCACCTGTGTGCAGAACTGTATTCCTCTGTCTATGTAAGATAGTGTTAGACCTAAAGTAATTTCTGACCAGGGAGTGGGGAATGTCTAAACTGTCTTGAGTTTTCTTTTCCTTGCATGTAAATGAAAAAGGACATGAAGCTACTTTAATCCTTAAGGCAGTTTACACTCTTTTAGCTCTTTATGCATTTGTCTGCTCACATCACCAAGTCAAACATGCCCAAGCATCACACCCTGTGTTCTGCTCTAAGTGCCTGCCACTCTGGGAGAACAGAACAGGTTTTCTGCTGCTTTGCTGAGTAGAAGTAATGTGCAAACAATATGCAAAGACCAGTCACTATTTAATATCCTTCTAGTGGAGAAGATGCATTTCCTCTGCAGTCTGCAACACATAATAGATTGTTAGGGGAGAAATGTAATTTCTTCTTTTTCATCAAAACTACCTTTCTTCTCCAAAGAGTCTTTAAAATGACATATCCTTGCACTGTATATGTAATGACTTTCAGTAAATCTTTGGTCTTAAAAGCAAACATTTTACAATTTTATTTCTTTGCTGCCATTGAGGCCACAGAAGAGTGATGTGGGAAGTTTGGTCCCAGTACATACAGCAGGATTTCATAATCCTAATTAATCCTTTTCTGTTTTTTCAGTTAACAATATATTATTTAGTCCACTAAGAAATCTAGTTATCTGTATTCTTACCAGATGCAAAAGTAATAGGTATTCTTAATTGCCTGGTGGTCTGGTGGACAGAGGGTGAGGTGTTTGGTTCTGCCAGGTTTTATCATGCAGAGATCTCAGAAGCCTTCAGTTGTGCAGCTGATAGCATTTTTCAGTGTTAGTTCCCCCCAAAATACATTTTTCTGAACTCAGAACTGTTGGTTTGGGGTTCACCTTGTGGAACACATGTCAAGGAGGGTTCTTGTAGAGAAGTATTTAGAGTCCATCTTTCCAGTCTTTCTTGCTTTGTTTGAGGCCAATGCCTCCTGACACAGCTTAGATGATTTGGACCTGGGTTCACATCAGAGGGGCATTGTGACAATCTGCTTGTGGTGTCAAGCCTTAACATTTAGGGAAAATGCCTGATCCTGGATTGGTGTAGGAGTTGATATTGTTTTGGTTTTTGAATTCGCACATAGACATAAGAACAACTGAATTTATCTTTGGAAAGGAAAATTTACAGGAGAATCAATTGTTCCATGTACATGGCATTGCTCTTAACCAGAGTAAATCCTGATCCAGAAGTGTTGATAGTGTGTGTTTAGCCCATGGTGCCCTGGTGCTGCCTTTGCACAGGGAAAGCTTGACCTCCATGCTAGAGGGATTGTGCTGCTCCTGGACTCAGGCTGCCTCTGGGGTGGCATTTTCTGTTTAATGCTCATCATGTGGCATCAGGCCTGAGCTAAAAAAAATGATGAATCTGATTTGTCTGTGCACAAAGTCAGTCTGCAACCTAAATACATCATTTACTAGTAGCTGAGCAATTACAATTTCAATTCTACCTGGTGACTATTTTATAAATAGTTGCCTGAAATGTGTGCTGTCATTTAAAATTAATGTGATGCTGGCAGGAGGATGAGGGGGTCAAGTCTGTGCATATTTAAAGAAAACTAGAGTTCAGAGATCCTGGCATGGACTGGGGGGTGTCATTAATTACAGGTTTTTGGGGTTTGGGTTTTTAATTATGCTATAAAATAGTAAAATATTCTAAATTATGATTATAAAACTCGGTGGAAGTATTTCATAGTAGGAGAGACATTACAGGTGAGGATGGCTACTCTTTTGAGGCAGGGTATGCTTTTCTTTTGTGCTGTTTCTTCACAGCATTCACTGCAGAAGAAATGTGATGGCAACACAATATTTGTGCTCCCATTTGCTTATATTAATATAGCAAAGAGGACTTTCAAGTATTGGTGAACCCCTTGATCTTTGTTTTTGCTTGTTCATATTTTCACTTTATGTTCCATTTATCTGTAGCTCTGTTGTCAAGGTTTCTAAAATATAATAACCTGTGTAATAGTCTCACAGTTATGGGGCTATTTTTAACTGTAAACAGAGGATCTGGATCAAGTCAAACTAAGCTGACAGTGATTTCTGTATGAGCCAGAGGGTGGAGCATGTCTAAATTATGATAAGACAGTGCAGCATGGTTGTGCTTAGCCAGAAAGGTCTGTCACTGTGAGCTAGTGTTTTTGTGTCAAATTATACTAGTGTATTATTTCAATTTTAAAACAAACAAACCCTAAACTTGTGTCTTGAGTAGTGCAGACAGATTCTGATCCACCAGATGGCTGATGTGCCTGCTGGTTAGGCAGGGAATTTTGAGATATGTTTTTTCCTAGTTTGTTTTGTGGTTTGGTTTTTTTCTTTTCTAAGTATATTATTGCTTAGTCCTGTCTCTGCTGCATGTTTGTAAACATGGAGTGCAGATATAAGAATGTTAAAAGTGGTGGAGTTTGTTTACAAAACCAAATTCCTTTTGTATCACTAATCACATAAGAAGAAAAATTGAAAGTTTCTGTGTGCTTATCCATGCCAGTTCTTATTTTAATCATCAATATTTGAAATGCCTTTGGTTTTGTCCTCATTCTTTAAAACAACTTGCTTACATTGCTTGTTTTTTTATTAACTGTGTTATAGTTTCTGACATGTTGTGTCTTGCTCTTCTAGAAAGAGTTCTGGAAAGTCTACAAAAACGGACTCCAGGGAGAAAGTAACACAGGACATAGCTGGTATTCATTTTACCTTGCATTTCCATTAATCATTGGCCTTTTTGTTATCCTCATTGTGGTTTTTGTCATCTGGAGATGCCTGTTCAAAAAGAAAATGCGCAGGCAGTCGGTGTACGCCGCGCACAGGGGAGCCCCCGCAGCGCTGGGCGACGGAGCCGACGGCCGAGGGCCCCGCCCGCCGCCTCTCAGCATTGTTCATTCCCCGCAGGAGGAAATGTACGAAGTCACTGGGCTCTCTCCTGGAGGTCTGAGCTATTCGGATGCACGGTCAGACTCAATATCCACAAGGCTCTCAAACTGTGATCCTCCTCCTTCCTATGAGGAAGCCACTGGGGAAATCAGTGTGAGAAGAATCGAAACTGAGCAGCATTTAGATCCACCCCCACAGTACGAAGACATTGTGAACTCCAGTTCAGCCAGTGCCATTGCACTGACCCCCATTGTCACCAGTACTAAGTAAAACAAGAAGAATGCCATGGACCTTTTAAAAATCATTAATCATTTTGTAGCACTTTATCTTGGCTTATTATGCATTTCTGTAATTTAACGGACTTGTATACGATGAATTTCACCTTTTTTAGGTTCACTCGTTCTTTGGGTTTGGGATTTTTTTTCCCCTATCGAATGTCTTAAAAGATAAGGAATCTGTATTGAGAGTGTAGTGCAGATACAGATGTGGTGCTCTGTCATACTTCTCAAAAGTACCTCTGTTTTGAAGGATGTCACTTGTTTTATTCCAAGCACTGTCCACATTCCCCACAAAATTTGTGGGATCTCCCTCTCCTTTCTTACTGCAGACTGTCAGAATTCCCTGCAATAGGGAATCCTTAAGCAACCTTTTAATAGTTATTTACACTAGAGGGGACTGATTTTGCAGTATTGCCTCTTGTCTGGTTTGTTCCTTTTTCTCACCTCGGTTTTTGTTACATGCTGGACCCTCTCCTGGCCTTCAGGAGGCTGGGAGCCTTTGTCTTCAAACCAGCATCTCATGTAGGGAATGCTGGTGTAAGAGCAATAATTCCAGAGTCCTAGCAGAAGAGGTGTGTTCTAAAGCTTTTGCTATTACAGCTCAAAATTCTTAGAATTTTGTCAGCTTAGAAGCTGACAATTCAAGACACTAATTGGTGAATTTAATGGTGTAAGTTTTTGTCTGTATTCTGCCTTTCCTGTTTTCCTATCTGGTTTTACTTTTGTATTCTAGAGGTGAGAAGTGTGCATATGTTAACTTCAGAACTTGAAAGTTCATGCAGCAGTAATAGTGAAGTACTCAAGAGTGGATAAAATCCTGATCATTGACTTCCTACTGTGATTTTCACTGGGACCAGTATGTAATCTATGAGCACATACACCCAAAGGCATTACTTTCCTTTGTAAAAGGAGAAAAAGGAAAGAAGTTCAGTGTCTGTGACTTCCTTATTTCCCCAAATATGAAAACCTTCCTCGAGGTTTTGCCAGCTATAAACCCTTTCCTCAAGTTCTGATACTCCCTTGCCTACTGACATGTACCTTGTGTACACCTTTTACTGGTGCCTGTGTAAATTCTTTTCAGAGAATATAAATATCTTTTTTCAACAACTAATAAATTTATTGCTTATCCATTCAATCAAGGAATTCTAAGAACATGCAGGCATAACCCCAAGCATTAGTGTGGAGTGACTTTTTGAGGCTGAAGAGATGGATGCAAGTTACATACAGGCTTGTACAGAATTTCATCCACTTGGTTTAGGTGGTACAAATTCTAGTGTGGTGATTCTTCTTTTTACCTCTTCTTTACAGGTCGATTTAAAAGTTAATTGCTCAGTTTAATTTCTTAGTAGTAAGTTTCAGTTTTCTTTCTTCCTACACCAAGTAGAATGGCATTAGCTTAGTACTGTTCTGTGTTCTACTAATCAATTAACACCAATTGAAATGTGTTGAGCCCTAAATTATGTTATGTTGGCTTTCTCACAGCAGAAACCCAAACTGTCTTGTTTCAAACACCCCAGATGAAATGCCAGTGCCATCTGTTTGAAATTACTCTTAATGCCCCTCTCATGGGGGCTTGGCCCAACTGTTCCCAAAGGATTTTTGTGAAGAGTCTGGAAGGAAGTGGATGGTTATAGATGGATGTGTAAATGTTCATAAGAATATGATCTAACCTATTGACAAGTGCAGTCAGGAGTTCTCATTTTAGGCAAAGAGTAGGTTGCTTTGTTGCCTGCTGGGGATCTTCATCTGCTAAGGCAAGTTTTATTGGAGATGAACTCCTGGCCAAACTCCTGACTCCATTGTCAAAACTATAATTTGTATTTATATTCATTATATATAATACATATATTAAGATGAGTAGATAATACAGTATATTTTGGACACTTGTAGTAAAAATTGCCTGGGTTTTGTTTGTGGACTGTCAGACCTTTTCTTTTGAAGTGGTTTTAGCTCTTGTGAATCCTGAATTGCCACTTGTGGAAGTTAAAGCTCCTTTCAAACCGAGCAAGAGTTAATAAATGAACTGCTTTAGGCAGATTCAGCAGAACAAAGTGCCTCATCCCAGCATGCAGGAACCACCTCAGGGAGAGCTGGTACTTCAGTGTCTGTGCCATATTGGCACCTCCTGTGCCTGCCAGCACAGATAGGAGTTTTAGCAGTAACTTCCTTGTCAGGATATAGGACTTCCCTGTAGGAAATGCATGGAGATCACCCATGTTGCATTAGGTTGTTTAGCAGCTGTCATCCCTGAACTTGGGCAGTCTGCTCTAGTAGTTTAGAGATGAGCTGGATTTTCCCTTCTTTCTGTGTTTTCTTTACTCTGTATGCCACTGCCACTTTTGAAGGGTTTGTGGTTCCTAAGTTGAGTATGTTACTTTATCCTGTTACTGTGTCCTGTAGATACTTTTATGTGCAATCCAAAATTGATGCTTGCCATTCCAAAAAAAGTCACAACCAAAAACTTAGTGATCTATGAGTTGAATTAATTGGACAATGCCTTTTCCATGAGTATGTGAGTCTGAAAGCCATTGTGGGCTATAAATTTATGTCTTGGTGAATAAATTTAATATTTAAACAAAACCTGTGTGGGACAGTTGTGCAAATGCATTTCCTCTAAAACATGAACAGTTTTCTCCATGTTGGAATAGCATCAACTCACAAATTGTTTGTTCTGTTTTGTGAAATGTGGGAAAATAGCTTAGTTTTGTGGTTGGCTTTTCTAACCTGATTGAAAAATAAAATTTTATTTGTACTGAGGTTTTTTACACCTTTTTTTTTTCTTTTTGTTTTACCTATCCTGTAATTGCATTGTCATGCAATAAATATCAATTTATAGTCGTACCTCTCTAAGGTTTTGCAGCTCTGAATGCAGTGCTGTCTTGACTGATGACATGAATAGTCAGGATACTGCCTTTCCCACTTCTGAATGTAACATTGAATTTCACCTTGTATTGGGACTGAAATGATTTAGCTACTAAACTAACTTAAAGGTGGCACTGTTTTAAGAAATTATGGAAATTAATGATTTGCTTAGATGATATTAACATAAGTGAAGGTTGTTCTCTCTTCACTGGATGTAAATAACCTCTGATTACAGTATTGTATATTTTAAAGGGGTTTGGTTTACATTAAATTATCCTATTTAAGCATTTTTGCCTATGTTTATAGAAAATTTTTTGTAACATTTGTTTTTCAATATGCTAAATAAAAATTTTTAAGATGCCTCTAATGTTTCAAAATATCAATTTTACACAACTACAGTGCGTATTAACTTTGTATATTTAAGTGGTCTTTTAATTTCCATTGTTCTATGGACTTAATCAGTTTCATGAATTAATTTTTTTGATTATATAAAATACAGTTTTAATTTTGTATGTGGGTAGCCAATTCTATTGTTTTAAAATTCAGGCTCAATTTTTATCAGAGTTATGAATTTGTATTATTTCCATTTATTTTTTAGAAAAAGCATTTAACACTGAGATGAGCTCATTTGCTTAGAGTCTGGTGTTAATAACACCAAGGTTTGGTTCAATCCCTGTATGAGCTGTTCACTTAAGAGTTGGACTTGATGATCCTTCTTGGTCCCTTCCAACTCAGAGTATTCTGTGATTTGTTGTAGCCACAGCTAAATAAGTCTCAGGCTGAGGGAAAGGAAACTAGCAAAAAATGTTGGAGTTTCAAAGTTCCCTTCAGCCACTTAAAAGTGGTTACAACTTGTCATGTCAGCTCTAGGAATTAACAGAGAGCAAAACCAAACCCAGCCTTGTGTGATGATCCCTGCTGGAAACTGAAGGTCTCTATTTCAGGAAATGTGGTATTTTTGGGGTCCCCCATGGCAGGAAGGAAATGATGAATCTGACTCCATGTTCTTAGAAGGCCAATTTATTATTTTATGTTACTATATTATATTAAAGAATACTACACTAAAACTATACCAAACAATAGAAAAAGGATATTTACAAAAGGCTTAACAAGAGACTAATGAAAAGTCCATGACTCTCTCCAGAGTCCCAACACAGCTGGACTGGGATTGGTCATTAAGTCAAAACAATTCACATACTGGATAAACAATCTCCAACCACATTCCAAAGCAGCAAAACACAGGAGAAGCAAATAAGATAATATTGTTTTCCTTTTTCTCTGAGTCCTCTCAGCTTCCCAGGAGAAGAAATCCTGGTAAAGGGATTTTTCCAGAAAATATGACAATGACAAGGCAACACAAAGTGAGTGTCATCCCTTCCCACTCTGGTAATCAGGATAAAGTGTCCCTGGGATTGTCCAGCAGGGCAGGGTCTGTGGGAGAGGCTGGAGAAGCCCAGGGCGAGGTTTGTGTCAGAGCTGTGAGCTCAAGTGCAGTTTTGTGCTGCTCTTAACAAAAGGACAAAGAAAGGTTCCTGAAGCAGGAAAGGGCAGTGACTCCCCAAGCTGTCAGTGCACAGTGTGGCCCTATGCTCCTCTTGGGAAGCTTTCATTTGTGCAGCCCAGGCCAGCAGCATCCAACCAGGCTGCTGCCCTGGTTTAGGTGGGGCTGCTGTGCACACGCACGTTTGTGTGCTGCCACACATCCATCAGCACAGGCTGAGTGTGCCCATGGCCCAGGCCCTGCAGGCCTGCCTTCCAGCTCTGGGAATGGGGGGATACAGTGCTGGTGTCTATAAAAATCAGATCATTGTGCAGGTTACCAGTGATGCATGCTCATTATTTATTGTTTCTCATGCCCAGAGCACTGTGCTCTGCTGCTCTAAATCACTCTGAGAGGTTTCTTTTTATTTTCTGCATAATGTGAGCTTTGTAAATGTCTCCTAGTGCCACTTGCTGATTTTTAAAAAGAAGGAAAACCATGTTCAGCTGAAAGCACTGAGGTGACATCTATGCTTTTTCATTGCTTGCTGCATGCACATTTGATTGATTTGCTACAGGGTAATTGAACTTTGAATTTTGCCAGAAAGTTGAAGTACACTTTTCTTCTGCAGGGGTATCTCAGTAATTGTATTTTTCATTTGGCAGTGAGTTATTGAGTGCTAAGTAACAAGTCAGTGCAGGAAAGGTCTTACTTCGGCTACCTTGACCATGTCTGTCTATCTGTAGATAGATACAGATATGTCCAGCACATATATTATACAGCATATTATACAGGACTTGCTTACCATTTAGGTCTGTGCAAATGTTTGCTGTAGTATCACATCTGTGTCCTCTTTGTCTGTCCTCTCTGTGTGTATCCTGCAGTAAAGACACACTGACTGCTGTGCTGTTTTCCCCTTTAGAAACAAAGCCTAAGAATCAAAATTACAATTTTCAGTGTGCTCTGCTGTTTCCTTCTCCACTTTAAAGCATTGTACATAACTGTGTGGTTCATAGAGTTAGCTGAGGAGCTTAAAGCAAGAAGGAAACAAGTATTTAAAAAATT